TTTAATCTCATATAGGTGGTCATGGACCATCATAAATCTTGATAACAGTTTTTAAATTAATTGAATAATATGTTTTCAATAGTCAATACTCGTATAATTATACCTATATTATTTTATATTTAATAGACACTATACTCACACCTATAACTAATTTTAGATTTTGAGCGAAGCTAGAATGTTATACAATAATGTGTATTATCACATTTTGATGTTTTGGAACAGCAAATTCTTTTCAATATTTAAAATAAGGGCGAGATAGGAAATTTGTTCCGTGGAGAACAAAATAAAAAAAAATTTTTTCTAAATAATTGGGAAAAATTTAAAAAAAACAGCGGGAAAACACCCAATATGAATGAATAGATGCCGACAAACTCGTCTCCTTCGCTCAGAATCATTTTTTGTTTCCAGTGATTTATGTAAATATGTATTTAGTACCTATACTTAATAACAAGTTAATACCAGTGTTTTGAACTGGGAAAAAATCTAGGCGGCCAACCACGATCTGTGGGCAAAATGATTTATTTACCATGATCAAAACCCTGAACCCCCCTTTGGCAAAATGATACCTCCCCCCCAAAGAAATTGTCAGGGTATAGGAAGTTCCTCCCTTACCCCTCACAATTACGCCTCTGCTCAGTACATACATACAATACAGCAGTATTATAACTAGTTTCTAATTTTTTTATGCTTAATTATAAAGCTTGTATAATTTATTTTGAAAATCATTTAAAATTTAGAATGAAATTATTTATTAGTAGGTATGAGGTTGTCAATGTAACATAAAATGTAGAGAAAAAGATTTTACAAATTATACATCATGTTATTAGATTTGAAGACATAATACTCATCTAAATTAACTCAACAAGTTGGGCGAAATATTAAACACAAATACTATCACAAATAAATTATTATTACCTATCTAATGTACGTAATGAATGCTGACAAAATCAGATATAGCTGGTAGGTACCTACTGGTTAATTACCTTTTAGATATTGAACTAGAATGATATTGCAAAGATTGAAAACCCAGATAAATTATGTTTTGACCCTAGAATAAAATATAGCATACATTTTTTAATCACAATAGAAAATATATATGATATAACTGTAGGTAATACAGATGATAATTTATTTTGAACTTGAAAATTTTTTTTTTATTTTATGCGAATATAATATGAGATATCGAAATACCATTGAGATTCAAACATAATATGCTCAACAAAAGAAATTGAAAAAATGATTAAATTATGTAACTTGTATTTATTTAATTGAATTCAAATTAGACAAAACAGAATTATACATTTATTTTTTAATAAACCTGATTGGTAGTCTGATTTACTATTTTAACTTAATTTATAGTTTGTTTTAGTCTTACATCATTAGTTACATTAGTCCTAGTCTTAGTACCTAGTTTTATATTATTGTCATTATTTGATTAATTTTTATTTAATTTTTCAATAGCCATATATACTATTAATACTTAATTTATATTTTATAATAATTATACTTGTTATGTGTGTATACAAACATATTATATTAATTTCGATCAGGTAGATAATGTTAATAAATATTGTTCTCATACTTTGAAATGCATCATATGATTCAGTTGATTATATATGCTGACATTTTAATAGTATATAATTTAAATTGAATTAAGTACAAAATTAATTATTAATTTTCCTATTACTATAATAACTATATAACTATTGATTATACATAAACATTTACCTATAGCCAATACTATGGCAAAAAAATCTCTATAATTGGTTGGTACCTATATTAAACATTATTTTTAGAAGCATCATATTCGGAAGTCTGAGTCTGCTTACTATGTGATTTAATTTTAATTTATTAAAAATCCCTCTGTGGCTCTGTGAACATATTTGTAGCTTTGTGAACCCATATAATAATTACTAGGTAGGTTTAGGTAATTATTAAGTTTTAACCATTTAAAAAATATCTATCATATAGGTATGCTTATTATATTACAAATAATAATGTGTGAACATTTCAAAGAAATTACATTTTTTAGCATCAGGTAATTAAAATTGGTCTTGATGGTCTAGTTAATTCGTGTGTAACGTAGGTACCTAGATAAAATAATTTGTTACGATCAAAGCGAGACGTTTTATTTGATTTTATGATTAGATTTTTACCACTGTTACATACCTAAATATACGTGAAAAAAGCATAAAGATAAGTATAACATATCGACGTATAAAGCAACTAGATAACCGACTACAGGATAATATTGAAGCTGGCAGCCGTATCGCAACAGGGCGAAATTGCATGGTTCAATGGTTGATAATATACATGTATTCATAATAATATATATATATCATATAATATATATATATCATATAATATATATAGGTATCTTATCTTTTGAGTTATTTTGTAAACATTGCCCTGTTCACATATGCAGTCCACTATATCTATAGTTGTTTTATATGTCCATACTCCATAGTATAAAACAGGATATCCATGATTAATGGAATCATGCAATACCTATATCAAGACGCTGTACTCTATTTAATATTTATAGAATAATATAGTTTGATAACACATTAATGTCAATCCTAGATAGTAGATTATATACAATATACTCGAATTTTTGTATTACACTTACACTTACTTTAGATTCTGAGCGGAGCGATGAATGTATTGATTTTATAATGATGTGTGATTTTTATTTTTTTATTTTTGTGACAGTCATCACGGTTTGGGGCAGTAAAAGTGCTTTGATTTTCTGCAACAGCAACTTTCTGGTAGGAAAATGAATCTAGTTGGCGAATTCGGGAGATCAAAATTTAAAATTTTCCATAGTTTTCAAAAGCGACAGGAAAAACAAGTAACAACCAACAAATTAAGAAAAACCGGGAATTTTGAAAAAATCGACCATTATATTCATGACATTTTCACTGAATATTTGTGTTCACATATCCTATACACCATACAATTTTCAACATATTTTGACTCGTTTTGAGCTGTTTATGGACATTTTCAATTTTCAATTTTTTTAGTTTTTTTTCTATAATTGTCAATACAGTCTTATTTGTTGTTTCGAAATGATTGAAAATGTAATACAAGGCGCCTGATTTATATTGACAATATCAATTTAAAATTATAAAAAATACATATTATGCTCGATTTTTTTATAAGCATTTTAAGTTAAAATGTTGACAATATTTATCAAATTGAAAATTGAAAATGATTTTGTAGTTAAAAATTTAAAACATTTTCAATTTTCATAGCTAAGGATTGAAAATTTGAAGCAAGGTTCCGCTTAATCAGTTTTTTCCGTAACTAAAAAATCTAAAAAATATATAAATACAGTCCTTTTTTTAGTTTTTTTAGGTTCAAATGTGGATGAAATTATTTATTAAATAACTAAGAATAATGATTTATGTTATTTTGTTGTAAATTTAAAATATTATTCGTGGGTACTTGAACCTTTTAAAGTACATGATTATATTTCATACACGCAATGACTTTTCAAATGTATTTTTTTTGGTAAAAATGATTTAATCTACTGCTTAGTACTAACGTTACTAGAAAAAAATTACTTTTATCACAATCATATCATCAAATATACTAAATTACCAAGTAATATTATAGACTGACAGACCGTCTTCGCTTAAAATCGTTTTTCGTATACAATGATTTTATATCATTTAATTCAAATTTAACACTCATCCATTACAGTGACCCACTTATTGTAACCTCCTGTACAGCTGCAGAGCGACATCCACTAACCAGCTTTAAAAAAAAAATGTATTCAGTAAAAATACCAAGGGGGATGAACACTTTGAACATCCCCTCCCTTTTTCCCCGTATGTACACCACTAGAGGTATAAGCTGAGCCAAGTAAAAAGGATAGGTGAACGAATGTACCGTGTTCATACTCAAACCTGTACATGGTAGATTTACGTTGTGACGTAAATTTGGGCTTACACATTACCCATAATAATATAATATTTGTATTATACATTTATACCTACTATTAAAAAGGTAGCTTACATAATGCATTTATAGGTCATAAGATTTAATATTTAAACCCTATGTGTTTGTGTGCCATAGCATTAAAGTGTGTCAATGTAGTGACGTATTCACTCGCACTGCAGGATGCTCGGTTAAGATAGTTATAAAAATATTATATTTTGTTTCGTATTTATGATGTATAGGTTATGGATACCTACAAAATGTGTCATAAAATGACGTACGATCTTCGTCACGACACTAATTACTTAATACCTACTTATACATTATGATTATACATATAGATATAAATTATGTTTGAAACAAATATTATAAATAGTTATTGTTTATTAAATTATCGTAATTTTACTCTATGTTATAAAATGGTTAACTATGAGTAACTATGGTTAACATAGATATGAAATATGTTAAATATATATGTTATAAGTCGTAACTATATGCAGATCTAGTTTTTGTATTTTCGTATAGCTAGTTACTATAATTTTCGCTCAACTACTAGCCGTCTCTAGAGGACACATATGCACTATATAGCACATCGCCTAACATCCGGCACAACCTTGTGGCTTCCACTAGGTTGTTCACTTGTACATAATATATCGATTTGTAATATTTAATCGTCATCGTTATATTATATGTACCTACTTAAATCAGTCGTTCATATATATGTATATAAATACCTATAATGTACGCTCGACGAGTGATACCTACACGCGTTTCACACCTGCAATATTGTACAGTACCTATCGTTTCCGGTTTCGTGAAACGAGTTCGTAAAGTTGTGGCGTTCGTGTCAGATGCGGTTTTTATTTTCGTACCAAGTATTTATTACTATTATTATTATTATTATTATTATTATTATTAATATCAATTAAATCGATGGGCGACGTCGCGCCGCCGGGAAGCTACCGATATCATCGCTGCTGCTGCCCGAGGAGGGAGAGCGACGCGGCGGCAGTCTCGAACAGCTGATTATACGCACGCGCCGCAGACGCCGCTCGTGCGACGGCGGGCAGTCAGTCGTCGTCGCGCCGTATTGACGTTTGTGTTTGTGAGCGCCGAGCGCGACCCTGTCGAGACCGCGACTGTTCATTATAATATTATACACATTAGACTGCAATAATAATTTTTATAACGTTTTCAATAGTACCTACTTACTGTTTATATTTTTTACTCGTGGACCGCCACACAATTTTATACATTCGAATCGTTTACATATTTTATTTTATTGGATACGGTTGCGTTTATTTTTTATCGTCGTTTTTTATATTATTTACATTTTTTACCTACAGAAATATCAACGACAACTGTTCGTTACACAATATATTATTATATCAATGCGTTTCGGTGTCGACGGGAATCATTTGTTATACACGTATACATAGCGTTTACATATTATTATCATACGACGAGGTTGTTATGTGCGACCGGCTATGAGTTCACCAAAGTCGTCGGACAGGAAATCGGGTAGGAAACAGTCGTTTTCTCAACAACGGTCCTCCAACGAGGACATTTATCAGCAGGACGAGTACGACACTCCGGTAAGCTTATTATTACTGTTATAGTGTTATTATCGTTGCACGTCAACAACTGCTTCCTAATACCTGTAAATTGTAATAATAATGTACTTTCGACAATCGACTTTCGTATATAACACGGGTGGTGTTATTTACATATATAGTTTAAAAGTCGATATAAGAATATTGTATATAGCTATAGTTAAATAGTTTAATATTATGTAAAAGTTAAAAATATGCGATTATTTTTCGATGCGCGTGCAAATTCTGACTCAAACATAGGCTGTTTATATATTGCACTCGCGACGGTCGATAATCATGACACGCCACAAAGTTGTCTATATTTAGGTGTAGATAAAGCGTTGATAACTTATCAATTATTGTCATATGATGTTCGGCAGGAATTGTTGCATTTTGGACTCACAGCTGACAATTCCGATTCTTACCGAAATAATATTTCAACGACTATAATAGTTGTCATAGTAATAATAATATTAAGGTATATAGTAGGTATTAATGTATTATCAACTATCAAGACGTATCAAGTATTGTAGGTATAGCCGTATAGGCAGGTGTTCGAAAACGTGAACATTATTATGCTGTTTTTAGTTTTTACTAAACCCTACGTAAGCTACGTTAAATTGTGGATACCCAAATAATACCTATTATATTATTCGAGTATTGAAGAATTGACAATAGACATCGTTCACAGATTTCCACCTGAATACATACTTTAAATATCTATATGGTTATATCATATAATTATGCATATTAAATTAGGTTTTTAATGTTTTTCATTGTAAATGTCTATTTACAGTCTGACTCATTTAGAAATTGTTTGATTTGTAACAACAAAGAAAGTTTATTAACTAACTATGTAGAAAATATAAAAAATAAAATATGTGAGCTATTGAAAACTTTTATTACCTATGTAATAAAATGGAGTTCGACAATTTAAATGTAGAAAGTAATCAAATGCATAAGCTACCTAGTACCTTTATTATTATACCTATAATATAGGTATGCAAATTCTATATAAATAAACACCAAGTATAATACACATTCAGTTTCATAATATGTTGGTTTTTTATTTCGCTGATAAAAAAAAAAAATAATGGTACATTTAATAGTTTAAGTAAATAAAAAATTAGTTTTAATCTAGTGTTGTGCCTTTGAACTTCCTAGTCATAATTTATTGTGTAAATTAAAAATGATGCAAGTTTTATTGATTTATAGTTTTATCACTTATGTTCCAATAAAAATTTGCTGATAGGTAGGCCAAGAACAATAAAATTCATCTGTAGTTTAAAATTTGCCATCCTCTTAACATATTTGTTATTGTTTGTTTTTTATAAAATATTGTTATCAATTATTAAATCTATACCATAATATGTTGACTGAAAAAAATATTCATACTGAAATAAGTCTTTATTATTCATGTGGTAGACTTTGGTAGACTAAATAGAGTGCTGACACATGCCCACATGTAGTCATATAAAGTTTAAGATTAACAAAGGGGTGGCCAGCCGGTCGTTTTACATAATATAAAATGCACCCTGTGTATGACTCATTGTTTTGGTTTGCTATATATAGACACCACTACAAAGTACAAATTCATATTATTTTAGACATCAATAATAATATTGCGTAATATATCTCAAATCTCACATACATTATTATAGCCCATAACGGCAAGGTATTAGAATATAGAAAATGTCAGAAATTATATAGTACGAGTACAATAAAATGTATTATCTTCCATTTACTGCAGAACTCATGACTAATAAAAGTTAAACTTTATAAGAGTTACTCTAATAACTAAAATAAATATTATTCATTTAAAAAACAGTCGAAATTAAAGTAAATAGATTTTATTTATACCTCACATAAGTACAATATTGATTGTACTGTAAATATCTAGAAAGATATTTTAAAAAGATATTCATTTTATATAATATGTACCTTAAGAAGTTTTTTTTTTAGTATTAGATAGGTGGTACCTATTGAAAATTCCTAGTTTTAAATGAGTAATTATTATCGGAACAATAATTTACAAGATGTGTACTTAAAACGACATGTATTATCTTTGATTTTGAAGTAGAGGTATTTGATTATTTTTTTTATATCTTATTGTGTGTTAATGTAAATAAAAATCTTATAACAATTAATTTTAAAAATAAGCTTTATTGGCCGTTTATAGAATATAAAAAAAAAATTAATAACAAATGTATATTATAGGTATAGGTACATTTTAAATAATTTAAAAAACACAATTTAGTTATTGGATGGTTATTTATGTGTGAAAAAAGGTTGTGTTAGCCTTATATTATAATGAGAATTGAGAAGTTTAATTACCAATTGTTTTTTTCATAATGTAATGACGTTCAACAGACATGAGTTCATTAAAAACAAAAGTTGCAAAATAAATACATTTGTCACCGTAACTATACCATGTATTGTTTTTTTTTTTGATAATCAGAAACATTTTTTCCAATACCGCAGAATTGTTAATGGTTAATCAATTTGAAGTTAATTGTATAATAAGTATAATATAAAGGTATCATAAATTTTAATCTATGACATTTAACGTTATCCATGTATATAGTTTCTTTCAAGGTCATAACCTCACTTAAGTTTTAATTTAACTTTTTTTCATTTCTGAAGTAATTTGATATCTAAATATAAAATATTTAATAAATATTTATGTTGAACTGATCATATTATATTCTGCTAAGCAGATAAGTATGAATGTATAAACCTTGATGAATACCATGTATAAAATATAAATAATAAGTACAAATATTTGTTATGATAAAATATTGAAAATTTGAATTGAAATGTCTGTTTAATATTCTTAAATCTTAATAAGCAATAATTACAATTAATATATATACCTAATTTACACTTTTGTACCCTATATTGGTGATAACATTTTTTAAATATATTTGAGCTTAATCTAAATCAAGCTAGAATCTTATGTACGATCTTATTAATTTAATATACAATTTTAAGTATACAATTTAAAGTTGAGGCCGGTGTTACGTCTAATGTCTTAGTTTCTATATATAAAGATATAAAATACATGTTTTTACAAGAATTAGTAACTATTTTATATTATGAAACATCGGTGTAATATATAGTTACAATTTTTATTGAGGGTAGGTTTAGATCTGTTTATTGTTATTACGAGTAGTTTTTACGACTTAATAGAAATTGTGAAGTTCTTGATTGTTATCTATTATTATTAATTATTAGTATTCTGAGTGATTCTTTTACAGTAAATATTAAATAAATATTGTCTCAAAAAGTATTAGTCTTTGAAAATTTTTATTTTCACCTGCATAATTTGAAGTCATTAAAGTTTAATAAAGTTAAATTTATTAATAAGTTAATTTATTAATTGATTTATAGTTAAGTTTAATTTAAAGTTCATTTCATTTTAAGTCATTGATTACATTGACCTAATGAAGTGTATACATGTAGTGTATAGTATATGTATATGTCGAGTGTATACAGGTACACTGAGCGGTTACGTACTTGATAGATTTTTTTGTGCATACAAATTCTCAGACAAATACGGAAAAATATTATGCTTAAGAATATAAATTTAAAAATATACCTATGTTGTCATTTAAAAATGAGATGACGGTAAAAATTACTAGTAATGTTGTTTTGAAATAACTTCAAATTATGTAAAAAATATATCTTCAGAAACGTCAATAATTTTTAAAATATGAAGTGTTTACTGCTAATAAAATAACCTTAACATAAAGTCACAAACAAGTATAAGATGAGTTTACGAATATTTTATTTTAGTTAATTGGAGTATAATTATTTAAAAACTGCTATAGACCTATTCGAAATTTCAAGAGAAGTGGATTTATTAGTTTTATCCCAATTATCAATAACGAAATATTTGGTAAATAGTAAATATTAAAGCTTTGTTTGTTTATGGTTAATTTATAAACAGTGTATGGCTGAAAGATTCGATATATGAGTCATATATCTTAATTTTTTGGGTATGTATTTACTACTTAAACTTAATACTTAAAGAATTTTTGATCTGGAGACTAAATCATAATAATACAGTGAAACTTCCATACCACGAAGTCTAATAAGCAGCAAAAAAAATTTGTAATATGGAAGAATTCGTTCAATAGAATTACGTATTTTTTTCAACTTTTTTTAAAAATTTTATTGTATGTATGTAAATACTTCTATGATGTATATGTTATGTAAAAAACAACATTAAATATATTATTACAGTTTAATTTAGTTTTTAATTTTATAATTCAAAAGAAATATCAGTGAGTTTTGTTTGCTTATTATTTTTATAAATTGTACTTTTTTCGTAAAAAGTTTTTATATCATTAAGTTTTAAAATACTACAATAAAATTAATCAGTTTGCCTACCTCCGGTGTCTTATCTTTATCGGATACATTGTTCATGTACAATTTTAGAACTATGTTTAAAATTTGATAGTGACAACATTAACAAAAACCAGTTTTTATCGAATAATTATTTCGTTATATAGAAACATTAGATTCGTTATTTGGAGATAAATGTACGTGTAATTAACAATGAAGGTCATGGTTCTCAAAAATAATTCGTTAAATAGAAAATTTCGTTAAATGGAAGTTCATTATACAGAAGTTTCACTGTATTTCATATTTGCATCAATTAATTAATTATGAACTATGAATTTTTTTTTAATACTTCATGTGTATATAGATATATAGGTATATAGATTTCTTATTATTTCATAAACGGGTTTATTTATGAAATATCAAACACTAGGCATAAACAATAGATTGTAATTTGTGTAAGTACTGGAATATTCATTACTTATTTGTATCATCCTACCCTTCCCCTTTCTTGTTTCCCGTTTTCAGCCTGTATTTACAATTTTTTGCTAAAGCAAAACTCTGGATATATGCAAAATGCACATATATGATGGCTCTATTTATTATAAAAACTAAATAAAATATAATATAATGATATTATGTCTAATGTACATTGATGT